ACACACACACACACACACACACACACACACACACACACACAACGCGCTCTCTCTCCACTACTCGTAAAATAAGTGAAATGCAACCCCCATTGTGCAACAGTTACAGCATTAGCAAAGTGGTGTTTTTTTTACTGGCAGGGAGTCTGTTCCTGCCCCGGGCCGCAGAGCGAGAAGAAAGAATATGATTTGAAAATAATAATATTTGTATGTATGCACGCAGCATGTTTAAAGGGCTGCTGGGGGAAAACTGAACAAAGGAGGTAAATAAACAAGTCTGAGGATTACGTCACCTAAATAAACTTAACATTTCCAAATATAGACATCATTTCTGTGGACAGATTCTCATTATAAAAAGAAATATATACACAATATAGTCTCTGTATCCCATTCTCACCTTCATTACACTTTTCATACAGTACATATAAACTGAATTATATTCCAGATACGCCCGAGCTGTGGTGACAGGAATACGAGGATGTGGACAGAAATAAGTCCTGTTTCTGGAGTGAACACTACGAAGGCGTCAGATGTAACTAATGTATCCAAAGAACACTTCATGTGTCTTTGAGTACTCAACAATTTAGCTTTGACTCCTAAAACATTGCCGAAATCACCAAATTCTAGGTATCTTCTTGATTCCATATAGTCTTCCATTTAATGGTTTACAGTTGATTAGTTAAACTTGCAAACTCAATGTTTTGGTCGTGTTGATTTAGCAATGAATGATGTTCCTAAATAAAGTTCAGTCAGACAACTCACGTGTTTCTTTGATATGTTTATTAGAAGCAGCATTTAGGCTTTTGTTACATATGGAAATCATCGCTGTCACTGTTAAAACTCACTTATTATACACAAGTCCACGACCAAAAAAAATCATATTTCATGCTTCTGGTTAGGTTAAAAAAGTACTGCCAGAAATACAGTACGTTTTCATCTCCAAATGAAGCTGGGACGTCATAATTACTTAATACCACACTTATTGGCATTGTTTTTGTTATGAATCCATGTTTCCCAGTATAGCTTTTCTCTGGTAATAAGAGATGATTTTTCAGAGACAGATTGATAAATGGTTGCCTGTCACAGAGGAAAAAATGTAGTTGTGTGGCTGTAAAAAATACATCTTAAAGGTTTGGTTGTATTAGGTACAATACCAGCAGGAAGCTAACTTGTACTGCTGTGGACTTTTAAAAGAAAAAATCAATATCAGTCCAAGTGTGCGCTATATTTAGAACATTTTCACTGCCTCACCTTGCTCTCAGATATCCCTTTCTGAAGGGAACTGGAGCCATGCTCTCTTCAAACCTACAGAACTCCATTGCAGTGATTTTACCTCCCAGGATACAGGTGTTTCTGGTCTACCGCTGCCTTGATCGGTTAGTTAGTTAGTTATTTAGTTAGTTAGTGTAATTGTGTGGCTTTGGTGTTTCAAAGGGCTCATTTTAAATTCCCTAAAGTCACACAAGAACACAAACAAATAGCCGATTGAGTCGGCTTAAGAAAAACATCTTCCGTGTACTGCGAGGTAAAATGAATGTTTTGCAAGGGAGTCTGGTGGCTATAGAAAATGACCACAGTTCCCAATTACAGGACTGTCTGACAGCAAGGTAAAGGGGNCCACGCCGCATTGATGCAGTAATCCGTGCAAAAGGATTCCCAACCAAGTACTGAGTGCATTAATGGACATTTTCAAATGTTTGATTGTGTTTTGCTGTTATAAATCTTTTTTTTTTACTTGGTCTGAGGAACTATTCTAATTTTTTGAGATAGGATTTTTGAGTTTTCTTAAGCTGTATGCCATAATCAGCAATATTAAAATAATAAAAGGCTTGCAATATTTCAGTTGATTTGTAATGAATCCAGAATGTATGACATTTTTGTTTTTTTTAAATTGCATTACAGAAAATAAAGAACTTTATCACAATATTCTAATTTTCTGAGACAGTCCTGTATATATATAGCTATATATATATTTTTTTTTTCTCACTCAAATGAATAATTATAACAAAGTACAACAAAATAATAATAAAAAAAACAATAATAATTCTCAGATAGTCTCTGTCATGTTCAACAGGGGCAAGAAGAAGCTTAAAAAAACTTTTCTGTTCCTACCCCCTCGGGCTTCAGTGCCAAACAAGAGGATTGTGTTGAATCTCTGCCTTAATATGAAGTTGTTGTTTTTTTGCTGTACCGGACTCACACCAAAGCGTGAATCCTTAACCAGGGTATGACCCAAACCGTAACCGAAACACTTAAGAACTGCTTTGTCATTAAGAAAAAAATGGGTTTAAGAGGATACCTGCATCTGCTGACTGTTGAAGGGTCCAAAAACCTCTGAATCATCCGTATTTTCCCATTTGTACTCCCACATCACCCCGTCACTCACTGAAAAAGACAAAACAGAATTGAACAAAACAAGAAATATAGTTCTATTTAAAAAAGGGAAATTAATACCAGTAAAACTGAAAAACCTGTGTTGTCTTCTTCCTCGTCTGATTTGCCTGAATTTTTCTCGTCAAATTTGTCTGCGAACATGTCCAGTTCATCTTCCTCTCCATCACCACCTGGGCTCTTCTTCACGGCTGGGCGCTTGCTGTTCATGCTTTTCATCAAATAGGCCAGTTTTTCATATGTTTGCTGATAGATCTCAAACATCCCAGATCCAACCAATCTGTCAGCTAATGCTGTGAGTCTGTCAAGCTTATCTGTGTCTCTTTTCGCCTCCTCTGTGGGTTTACTGTCTTCCCTCAGCTTCCCCTTCTTCCGTCCTCCAAGGCCTCCTAGCCGCCGGAGCGCCTTGGCAACCGTCTCCCCAGGATGCAACAGTTCGACCACAGCCTCAGTGAGCTGGTGCTGTGTGAAGGACGCCAGCGGGTCCTCTGCAGGCTCCATTTCCTCCTCCTCCATCTCCTCTGCTTCCTCAGTGTTTGCTTGGCCTGCCTGCTTCTCTTCCCTCTGTTTCTCTTCCTCAGCCTCATCCTCATCACCGACTCTGCGTTTCCGTTTGGCTCCAAGACCTTTCTTCTTTTGTTTGAAAGGTTGTTCTTTTACTCTCACCTGGAAGAAGCGACTTATATTATTGCACAGTGCTTGAAAGGTTTTCAGAGATGAAGAAAATATCCCTAAAATAAACATACCCAGTCAATGTTGTCAAGCCAGTTGTCTCGTATCTCTTCCTCCTTTTTGACGAAGTAGTTTCCTTCAGAGTCAAAGTATCCTTCCTGCATCTCCTCATCCAGGTTGAAAGGTGTAATGGAAACTCCCTCGTCATAGTCGATTGTTGCTCCCTCTTGGCCTGAACACATAGTGAGTGTGGTTTAAGGTGACATCTTTAATGACGCTTCATGTTTAGACAAAATATTAACTTTCACATATCACTGGTATATAGAAAGGCTGAACCAACTCATTTGAAGCATAATCCATAACATGTCTTTTAAAATTCTAAATTAACATTTGAATGCTGCACTTTGTTTTTTGCAGGGATACAATATTGTTTCAATTCTGCCCAGTTGTATATAGAGATTTAGCTGAACTTAATTATATTATTATTATTATTATACTATTTGTATTTTGTAGAATTAGATATTTTGTGGTGGCTGCATAGAATTGGTTTTAGAATAATTTGATCTAAACATTTCACAAGAATAAATAACATAATTTCAAAATGACATTCAACACAGCCCTAGTATGTAGCAGACGTGGTCAAACTTTCTTTTAGAAGAACATGGTAATATAAAAGCAAAAGTGTATGTGCCTTTTTTTTTATTCAATACGTGTATACTTGAAGCATACGTCATATCATATTTCAACAATTAAACAAGACATACCCTCCACGTCATCACTGGCCAGAATATCATATTTGTTGGTGATTTTTGCATCTTCCCCTTCATCCTCTTCATCGCTATCAAGGGAGTGTTTGCCCTTAAACCTAGCGCCTGGTCCAGTAACAACCTCACAAGTCTGGTTCAAGCACAAGGGAAAAAGCAAAACATTTACATAAAAACATAATTGAACATTTCAGTAAAAAATTTCCTGCTAGTTTAAGCAACTTATTTCAATGTCCTGATAACGATGTTGTTGATCTGGCTCTAAGTCACACTACATGTCCGTTCATAAAGACTTACATTCGAAATGGATACTTGGACTTAACCTGAGTATTCCCAATGGATTGTTATGATTCATTCTTCTCTAATATGTATTTGAGAGGAACATTCAAATGTATGCTCCACTACATTAATGAAAACCATGTGTCTCAAAATGTGTTGGTTCTTCTGTAAAACTAAAAGATGAATATTCCTTTATGGTTTGAAAACATTCTACTTCTGAAGGTAAATAAACTATTAAAAACCCTTCTTGGATGACAACGATGCTTTTTCAGGGAATACAAAGTTGACTTGTGATATACGCTACTTGAGTGGGATGTAATCAGATCTTTTGTTTGTAAACAATGATGTGAACGGGACGGTTGTACCTTTTTGCTTGGGACGTCTTCTTCCAGCTCTATCTCCCCTTCCCCGTCCTCAAATGTTACTTTCCTCTTCGGCATGGTTCTACAGAAGACAAGACAGTGGCTCTTATTATTCAGAAGTGGCTGTAATAGTGGTGGCTGTGCTACTTAGATCCTGTTTACGTTGTGAACACGAGCGGTAACCTCAGAGCTCATGTTAGCATCGTTGCTAAAACATTAGCCAACAAAGTAGACACGCAGCGTGTAAACAACCATAACAAGCATAGGTCACAGTCCACCCTCACGCTAGAGGCAGATTTACATTAAGTAAATTAATACAATTCAACCTGCATATTAAATAAATATGAAAAATAAACTGATATTTAGCTGAAAAAAACAAACCCTGCTGAAATGAATTCAAACGACGTTCGTTTTATTTTCTTCTTTTATGGTTTTCTTCTTCCTCTCTTTCTCAATGTTAATGCTGGTTGGTAGATGACAGACCGTGGCATTACCGCCACCACCTGTTGGGGAGGTTGGTTCAAATTCATAATGACAGTGATATTTACTTGCAACAAACGGAAATAATAATAATAATGAATATAAAAAATGTACATGCTACTACGCACAAAGTATGTAGTGTTTTTCAGAGGGAAAAATAAAATACCAACATTTGTGAAAAAGCATCGGGCGGAATTCTAGAAAGACACTGCCAGTGGATCTCAAACTATTGAAAGGTTCATAAGGGATTAAAAGTTCTCAAATGTAAACTGGAGGCAGTTCATGATACAATGTCTAGAAACTGTCAATTAAGGTACTCAAAGGAGAAAGGTATTTTTCTTTCCTTTAACAGACAAACTGTCCTGCACTATGTATAATGTGCTGAAAGTGCCATGTCTGCAAAAAAAAACAATAGCCTACAAATATTTTTGATTTAAAAAAAAATTAAAATAAAGGTACTCAAATAACTTATAATGAATAGTGGATTTATAAAAATAATTTGCTGGTTTAATTGTATTATCTCTTAGAATGGGACATGTGATAAAACGTATGTGTAACCCACACTCAAAAGTCAAAAGTCAAAATTCAAATGTGCATTTTAACCATAGTTGTCTATAGTACAGTTTATCTTAGGTGAGCACACATTTGTACTTATATCTCACACTTATTTTTGCATGAATATGAGTTGAAACTATTGACGTTCAAGTTTAACCTTTAGTTCTCGATTGAGACAGCGGTGACGCACTCCCCAGTATAATAAACCCTGTAAATCTCTTCACCTTAGACTAATTTAGACTTTTAATCACTTGGGGTCCTTCAGGATAAAAATAATAAGTGTGTGTCAGAAATAGAAACAACAAGCAAAGAGATGTAGAGGCAATCCAAAGGTCATGTAATGCCCATATTTCCTTAAATTATATAAGAATTTTAGAGCTAAATGCAGAGCAAAGGATCAGGGCATAACATTGAGATAATTTGACAGAGGATAATGTCTGAAAAGAAGTGTGACACATCCTCTGAATCGTCAGTATTCACCAAATGACATTTGCTTTACACACCATCATAGTTTCAAATAACACTCAACTGACATCAAGAAAAGTGACACAGAATGCAGAAGTGAGAGGGCCGATGAAAATACATCAGATCTCACTTCAACATCCAGCATCTCACTTCCAGCAGTTCTTATCAGCGACTGCTTGGGTCGGCTGATCCACCAGCTCAGGGTAGACTCAAGCGGAGAAGAGAGAGAATATAATATGTCAGGATTTTGTTACCAGGAAGTGGGGCGAGTTATTTATATTTCAACACTCATCCTCTCGTACCCGAGGGAGAGGCAGTGGTAGTAACCTGAAACTATATATTCAAACATTGTCTGGTTCTGGATGCAACGAACTGATGAACAATTATTAGCTTTCTGCTTAGAAAGTCTGCGGACCCTGAGAAGAGAATCTGTAAATGTTAATTATGTAAGGACTGTGTGGTAGGGTAAAGTGACCCTGTGAGGGATTTAACATTGGCAGAGGTAAGTCTGAGTCAGTGTTTTCTATTCTGTCACTGCTGTGTGAGTCACTATGAGAACTATGGAAGAACATGTTTTTATTGGTATTACTTTAATTTTGCTGCTGGTATTGTCATTATAACTTATACATTATTGCAGTTTGTAGTATTTGACTATTACATTAGTATTTAAAGTAAAGGTTCCTGCTTTAACTTGGGGTCACTCTGACAGATTATTTTAAACCTCAAGCATAATGAATATTTATATAGATTAAAAGTGAAAACCCTATAGCTCTTATTTTAAACCAGGTTATTGGATGATTTCAATTGTTTTGCTCATTCCTTTACTGTTAATACTGACGCATCCGTACCTAAGAAGTATCTCACTGTTATAGCTGATTTAGATGGGGGCAATTCTTCATCATACAGGCCTGCAGGTTCCACTTGTTTTCAACATGGTGGGTGCATTACACCTTTCATAGTTTTGTTAAGTAAAAGGAATAGAAATAACTAAGAATAAATAAGCATATACATATTATGTTTGGAATACTAAACAGATGTACCTCAAAGAATACTTTTTAATCCTTAAGTAATTATATTGTCTATTACATGGACGAAGCTGCTTTCAAACCTTAATTATAAGTATAGTTTGAGGATATTTAAGATGTACTGAATTTATTGTAGCTGGAGTTATTATTAAAAGTGCCGGGGAGTTTCTATATCTTACGTCCTGAATGTTAAATCACTTTCTCTTCTTCAGGTGGTGGGATGAAGCTCCATGAGAAGATTCTGACCCATTACCTTTCATGCACCTCTCCGGTAGATAAAGAAGGATACCTTTTCAAAAAGGTTTGGATGGACAAAAAACACAGAAAACATGATATAACTAAATCATAAATTCTGATTTCCTTGTAAGGGTAAATGTTCCAGTTTTCCTTTGCCATGTTTCTTTGTAGAAAGAGAGAAATGCCACCTACCAGCGGCGGTGGTTTGTCCTTAAGGCCAACCTGCTCTTCTACCAGGATCGCCCCGCTGACAGACACCTGCTGGGGGTCATTGTGCTGGAGGGCTGTGCGGTCCGGCGCTCGGAGTCTGAAGGACAGTTTGCCTTTTCCCTGGTGTTTGAAGGGCCCGGACTGAAAACATACAGGTTTGCAGCCGGGGACGGTCAGACTCAGGAGAGCTGGGTGAAAGTTTTGCTCTCAGCCAGCCACTGCTACCTCTCCCTGCTGGTGAGAGACCTGGGGAGGCAGTATGAAGGTGTGTGGTCTGTTAATTGGTACCAACAGATATTTCTATATGGTTAAAATCTGTTTTCAAAATAACTCTTTACTCATTGCCTGCATTATGATTTGCTTTCAGTATCTTGTGAAGTTCTAAAAATTGTTTAAAATAATAGTTACCTTCTATTGAGGAGTATAAGCTATAAGTAATAATTAGGCAACAAGCAAATACTTCAGAAACAACTTTTTTGAAGGCCTAGTGATGATTTAATAGATGTATTACAAAAATGTAGTTGGTAGACACATTTTGTTGTCCATTTCCCCCTGTTGCGTTAGGATAACAGGGACAGTGTTATCAATCTCATTATCTAAAACTAAATTAACATAAAATGTCAAACTATTCCTCTGGGAAAGCTTTTATATAAATGTGTATCTCTTCATTTGTTTTATGAAGAGACTAAACTCATTTCCTGTTTCCATCTGCAGAAGCTAAACAGCAGCAGGGCTCCGGTGCATCTCGTCACAGTTCCTCTCTCAGTGCCCTCACACAGCCCACTCACTTCCTGCCTGTGCAGGGCCGAGCAGCAGTGGTCCGGGAGGGAAGAAGCTACAGCGCCTGCCCTGTTTTACAAACACAGTCAATACCACCCAAAGTGGTGGCTAAAAAGTCCCCTAAGCTGTGGCCCAGGAGAAATGCTCACGTTACACCGCTTAATGGACCGGCACCTTTGTACGGGGAATGGCCTTTGGTTGGTTTTGATCCACTGGAGGACTTCAGCAAACTTCATGATTATTATGGCCAAGAAGTGAAGAAAGCAAGAGAGGAATGGCTGCGGCGTCGACGAGCAGAAGATGAATGCATCGATGGACACCTCATCGATCTTGGGTGAAAGAAAAACCTGAGGGTTACAGACTATGTAAGAGGAAGCGAGATGGAGTGGTTCATGCGTGTCAAGAGGAACTGAACCTGAAGGGTTGTGGGTTTGTCTGTATTTTGGAACATAAGAGACGAAGGCCCTCACACAAGCTGTCCATGTGCTAAATGTTCCTAGTGTTTAAAAGGATGAGCTTTGTGTTTTAGATATGTTTTTATAGAATTGTTAATTTTCCTATGCCAAGACGGCCTTCAGGTGACCATGGGATGCAACAGAGAGGGTCAGAACCAGGAGCTGCTGGTGTCTGCACATCTGCACCTTTTGGACATGAAGCAGGGTCTTTTACTGCAGCACCTTGAATGACATTAATGAATTTCACAATGTTTCTGTTTTCTTTAAGTGATTAACCCGCAACAGTGTAACAGTCAGCGAACAGGAGCTTGATGGAGTATTATTACCACTTAAGATTTTCATACTTTGACATGTCAAAATGTCTTCCACGCAAACGCCCTTTCCTTGTTTGTTCTCATGGACTTCCTGCTAAAAGGGACCTACACACCTGTTGCTGACTACATATTCATATACTGTATATGTGGTACAAATGATGAGTATTCATGAGCAAAGAGTATTATACATGTATCATTCCACTTAAAAACGAAATTGATCTGACAACCTGTAGGATCTATGAGTCAAACAGAGAACAAGACTTTCATATAGGCCTAGTTCAAATCAGCAAGTTATTTTTAAAGGTCCCATGACCTGGCCATTTCTACTGATCATAATTCCATTGTTGAGGTCTACTAGAATATATTTACATTGTTTAATGTTCGAAAATCACATTGGTTTCTCATAAATACACATACTATACATAGATGCTGTATGAGAAACCAATGTGATTTTCGAACATTAAACAATGTAAATATATTCTAGTAGACCTCAACAATGGAATTATGATCAGTAGAAATGGCCAGGTCATGGNATCCTGCTTGACTCCAGCAGACAAAGCTTTCCCACATTGTCCCAGCAGGTCGTCGTCCCATTTGGGACAATGTGGGAAAGCTTTGTCTGCTGGAGTCAAGCAGGATNCCATGACCTGGCCATTTCTACTGATCATAATTCCATNCTTCGCCGGCCAAATTGGTACCTGGAGCAAATTCTGCATCTAGACACTGTCTGGGTGTCCCCTCTGTACAGGATTGATATGTACACTGAGGGAGGGACAGCATGAGGCTGGCATAGATGCAAATATTTAACAGAAACATGTTTCTGTTAAACTAACGATGATTTCTCCTGAAAAAGAATCATGATTTATTAATCAATTGAAAAAGTTCATTAGTACACCACTACTACTTGGTCATTGTACATAAAGTCATTTTGTCCCTTCTTCTTAAAGGTGTGTTTGACCTTTTTA